GTGTGTGTGTGTGTGTGTGTGTGTGTGTGTGTGTGTGTGTGCGAATGCTATTTGGCTTGTGTCTAAAAAAAACAGAAAATACAAATATTATTTTTATTGCTCTTTAAAAAATGCATATCAAGTTTTTTACAGCCTGACAGGTTCCCACTAAGCCAAAATCTGCATTTGATACTTGAAATAATTTCTCTCACTGAATCATTAAACCATAATATCTGTGTCATCAGTCTATGTCATCAGTAGCATTAGTCATCAGCATTTCGGTCATCTGGTGTTTTTCTCCAATGGATTTCTTCGACTTGGTAGTATTTCAGTTTGTGTAATCAATTTCCCATTTGTTTTGACATTTACCACATTTACGCAATTCTAAGTTGCAATCATTTGCAAAATGCAGCTAAATTGTACAATTAGCACCGCAAGTATGACTTGCAAATATTACACCTGTTTCTTAATTTATGACTAGACATCTGTGTGATGAACCTAAATTCATCTTTTCTCCGCCTCGTTCTAGCATTTGTCACAACCTGGCTGTTATTTTCTAAATTCAGCGCCACAGCAAATCAATACACAAATTGTGCTGGAAGTGTGCTCGTTGATTTACTGTCACCCACAAGTTTTAACAATATTTCACAACCTTTTAAGTACATTTAAGAAAATCTTACTTTTAAACTCACTGCTTCTACTGTCACTAAATAACTTGGTTACATATGGGGTGCCAAGAGTGAAATAAAAAGTAAAAAAAAATACACTAGTGCATTTCCATTATTTAGCTCACTTGCTGAGTGTAAAATCCCAATTGAAAGTTTTGACTAGCATTTTATTATTTATCTCACTGTTATTACATTTTGTATTTTTTAACTAAATGTTACATTTGAATGTTATATGCAGTTATTTAATCCTAAATCTAAATTGGTAAATCTAAAAAGTATACATTTAAGTATTTCAGAATGAAATGTAGCCTTTGTCATTTGTGTGCAGCTTTAATTGTGACTTCATTATCCTGTGACCAAAGCAAACGAACACTCCTACCGCTCCTGAAGATGGCATTTAAATCTAAATTCAAAACATGTTCCTTTAAAACAATATGGTTGATACCTGTGGTCCGGAAATTCAAAATGCAGCTTTGACATCAGCCACAACTGCAAGTTCGATACTGTATCTTAGGGAAGCATCAGCAGCGTTAGCAGCATTAGCAGCATCAGCAGTGTTAGCAGCATCAGCAGTATTAGTAGTGTTAGCAGTGTTAGTAGCATTAGTGGTTGCTTTTGTCACAAGATTATGTCATAACAAATGGTGCACACCAATGGCAAAGGCTCAGTACTTTTCTGAAATACTTAAACACAAACTTTAGCAATTACCCACAACATTTACATTTAACTTTTGCATTTAGATTTAGGATTTAAATTTAACATTTAGTAAAAAAAATGTAAGAACAGTGTGCGTTAGCAAACTTGGTCGTACATGATTTATATTTATGAAACAAAACATTGTAAATTAAATTAAAAAATAATGAATATTCCTTAGATAGAGATTAACGTGTTCCCAATAACCGTTTTGGTGCAGCTACTCCCTGTTTCAGCATTACCAACTCCTCCTTTTTTTTCTTGACAGCTGCTTTTGTTTCTTTTTGCCACTCACTGCAGATAAACATTTACAACTTATCTCAATTCCCACGTGAATTTGCATTATCATGCAGACTCTTGTCAGACTCTCTGAAACCATGGTCCTTGTACAACACAAATGTCCACTTTTTTTTAGTTTCTACTTTACTGGGCTGGGAAGTAGAACAATGGACTTTTTAATCAGAGGAGATGAAACATCAGACACTGCCCCTAGTCAAGTTGCCAGGAAATCAAATAGACTACTGAGCAGCTGAGAGTTGATAGGAAACGTCAAGTTGGAACCCAGTAGTCTCCATGATAAATCAACATTAAATGGAGTGTGCACCCTTGACTAACTTATTTTGCTTGTAAATACAATTTTGTGCACTCACTAGAAAAATAGACATTTGTAGAAAGTTTTTCCTATTTTGTTTTGTTTTGGGTGCCATTCTAAACTACCATATATATATACAGTGGGGAAAATAAGTATTTAGTCAGTCACCAATTGTGCAAGTTCTCCCACTTAAAAAGATGAGAGAGGCCTGTAATTGACATCATAGGTAGGCCTCAACTATGAGAGAAAAAATGTGAAAAAAATTGAGAAAATCATTTTGTCTGACTTTTAAAGAATTTTTTTGCAAATAATGGTGGAAAATAAGTATTTGGTCACCTACAAACAAGCAAGATTTCTGGCTG